CAACCACATAAGGATATGTCAATTCAAACTAATAAACACAAAATCTCAGGTAGAACAACGATATAACTGTGGCAGAGGCAATAAAAAGCTAAAATATTAAATGCTTACTTCATCACAGTTTTAGAAGAGGTGCAGTCTTCGAAACGGATTGTGTACCCAACCTCTTGGCCAAGTTGGACATCCATTTCTTCGGAGACGCGCTGGGCGACGGACATTGCTGCAACTCGCCTGGGTTGAGTACAAGCAACCCCTTTTTTAGAATGATAGCGAGCTATAACCCACTCAAGACACCATTGAGGTATCTGAGTTGTTTTTCCAGAACCAGTTTCTCCTACAAGCACAGTGACCTGAAGACAATTTTTAGAATAAGTAAAGTAACTAGCTGCTAGGAGAAGTAACACAAGTTTAAGTACAGATTCTTTAAACAAACCTGATTTCCAGTAAGAGTTTCTATGAAATTATCCTTGTATTCCCAAACAGGCAGCTGAATACGCTTTCGAAAGATGTCATAGTATCTCTGTGAATATGCTCGACCTAAAACAACGGTAAAATAGTATTAAATACTTCAAACCACAACATTTTTCTGATTAAGCGTTATCTGGGACACTAACCAGTGTATGGATTAGCCTGTAAATGATTGGATGCCAGGGAAGAAGTTGATTCTGAGGCTTTGACGGGGGATCTGGAGCGTTCATGAAAATTAACATCGCTTTCCTTATCACTGAACCTTTGAAATGCAAATATAATTAAGGAGAAAATACCTTGATTTCCTGACCTTGGCAGCACCTATGTCAAGTTTGTGCCGGGACGACATTATAGGAGGGCAGCAGGCTGAATTGATTTAAGGAACCGCGATGAGCAAAAGAACATAAAACAATAAAATAAAATAAAATTAGTTATACGAAAAATATATATAAATATCAGAATATATAGTAAGAGATTAAATATAAAGACGATTTTGGTCTTAGCCGCACAATGAGTCTCTTTGGTGCCCCGCCTTCCGCGTCTTCTCCTGCTTTTGGTTTTGTCTCATCAACGCAGCAAACAACTCCTTTTAGCTTTGGATCTCTTACCACCAAGGCAAATAGCTCAACTTTGCCACTTTTTCAAACGTCTTTTGCTGCCTCTCCGGTTATATCTTCGCCCTTGTTTGGTTCATGTGCACCTTCCGCAGCATCTAGTCTGTTCTCCCCACAATTTCCTTTCAAGCCAGTTAATAAGTCAAGCTGTCTTTTCCCGCAACTAAGCAACTCAGGTAGGCTATTTTAAAAGTATTATATTGACGGCCTAAGCAAACCTAGTTCTTGTCAGCGCAATGAGTCTAACCATATTCTCTTTTATCACGCTTCCTTGGGTCCATTTAATGAAATATTGTATAAAGGTTGCAAATCTACTAAGTGCAAGTTTATGGGATGTTTATTTCTACTTTATGGTATTAGTAGCTTATTAATTTGATTGATTAGGACCTAAACTACTCGTTTATACATATTTTAATGCAAGTATTATTTGTAGCTGTCGCGTTTTTTAATTGAGGTCTCATTTCCTATGTCAAGATGGCCTTATCTACATAGTCTAAATGGCGCAAATAAAATTTGCGCCACCTATATGAGGCCTTAATCATGATTGCAAAGTTGGCTTAAATTACTTTTTCTCATCGGCTATTTTATGCCGATCTGTGATTTAAAATTGCTTATCTTTCAGATGTTGAGACTAGCCTTAATTGTTGGGTATGTGTGCTTAGCGATTTCCAAACAAAACTCCACTTTCACTCGACTTAGATGCTATTATCCCGAATGAAATCACTTTCTTTCATTAATTTTTTGCTATCTA